TTAACTCACAGGATGGGTTAATTTCTATTTTTTCTTTCTTCTGAAGCAGTATAAGAATTTTAGAATGCACTCACTCTCTAACTTAAATATTGTTGTATGCTATTTTGGTTCTTTTATTTAATTTTTAGCCCATGAGTTAGACTGTTGATTATTTCCTTTGGGGGCGCCTTTATGTAATTCTGCTCATCATATTTTTTTTTTCAGTTGTAGATGGACATAATACCTTTATTTTTATGTGGTGCTGAGGATTGAACCCACCGCCTCACACATGCTAGACAAGCGCTCTAGCGCTAAGCTACAACCCCAGCCTCCTGATAGCTTTTTATTGTCTCCCATTTCTTCTTGAATATTAAACCCTCTTCTGGGATCTCTTACCTCCTTGAAGTATGTTCTTTAGGAACTTCTTTAGTAGGAGAGAAAGATCTGTTAGGAGTAAATGCCCTTGGATTGATTGATTTGTTTATTGTTGTTCTAAAGCTTCACTTTAGCATGTTTAAGTATGGTTTATTTTTATTTGTCCTGTTTAGAATTTGACTTCCCAAGTCTGGAAGTTATATTTCATTCTGTCTGAAAAATGTTCAGTCATTTTTTTTCTTACAGTATCTTGTATCCCAGTATTTTTTTTCTTTTGAAATTTTTAGTAATGCAATAGTGCATCATCTCTATGTTTCATATCTCCTCTTTTGTGGTTTCCACATTTTCTATATCGTGAAAATTTCTTAATTTCCTTACAAATGATTTCTTTAGTTTCACTTTCCAGATAAATATTTCTCTTTTAAGCAGTGTTTAGTCAAGTTTTTATATTTATAGAAGTGATACAAGTTGCTACTTTTTCTTGAAGTTCTGTTTTGGTCTTTTTCAAGTCTGTGTAGTTATGTTTAGATGTCTTTTTCCTCATGTATGCTATTTTCCCTCTTAATAGAAGAAGTATATTTCATTTTTGATTATTTGAGTGTCTGCATTCATTATGGATCATTTTATATAAAGGGTTGTTTTGCTTATTTTTGCCCAAGATGGTTATTACCTTGTGTACTTTCTGTGTTTATTGGGAATTCACATTCCTGACATTTTGTATGTGGAAGTCCTTTTGAGACTTGGGTCTAGATTTCCTTATGAGAGAAATTTTCCATTTATATTTGCTTTGGCCAATTGCTTAAGGTACTAAACCCCAGAATTTTGCTTGCCATATAAATAACATAATTTCTATACCTGTACCCCTGTGGAGAGCTAATTTTTGGTTAGAATTTTAGTTGGGGGCTTTTTCTTCTCCCTTGAGTGAATGCTGATTAGCAAGTATTTATTTTCTTCTTCATGGTGACTTTTTTCCCTTAATTCACTTTCCATTAAGGTGGTTGCCTTTTGGGTGTTCTAACTTTAGGTGAAGTTTCTGATCTCAGGGACCTTTCCTGGCATTGCTCTATTAAAAACCCAAGTTCTGATCATGGATTGGTACTACTTCACCCTATCCTCTCCCAAGGTTCACACTGTTTTCAATGCTTACTTACCTCTCTGAATCTCTGCTTTCATGTTTCTAATCTCTGGTAATTTCTATTTATTTTTTGCCTGCTTAGCCCTATATTTAAAAATGGAGTATTGTTAACATTATTGAAATATAATTTATATTCCACAAAATCCCTCAATCTCTAAAATCCCATTTTAGAGCTTTTTCTGTCATCATGCATACTTCATTTTTAGTAAGATATCTTTATTCTTCCAAGGAAGATTGCCAACAGCCTTTTCTAGAAATTGGAAAGTTGGAGATTTAGCTAGCCTCTTTTCATCATTTCCCCCTATGACTTTGGGAATAATTGTTAGAAACTTCTTGAGTGGCTTTGAAATTTATATGACTTGCAGTTGGGACTCCTTGTTTATGTATGAAAAATTTGGTAAAGTTGAATTATTGATATCATTGTTACTTTTGACTGGGAAATTCAGGCCATTTTAAAGGAGAACTGGGGTGGTAGGTTCACCCCTGTATCTACTACCTAGATTGTGGTATCACTATATATACTTTGTAACTCCTGTTCCATAGATCTTCCCACTTGTTTCATTCCTACAACAGGAGTAAGCCATGAGGAGAGGAGCACAAAAAGAAATGTTGTCTTGTCTTCCTACAAAGGTTCTAGGGTGAGGGGCAACTGAGTAACTCAGCCAAATACAAAACCAGGAGCACTTACTGAACACAGTAGAAAACAACTTATCTTTGTTAAGTAAATCATGTTCCCTAGGTATGGTAAAGGAATACTTAATATTATTTTGAGTACAGATAATCCATTGGAGCAAAGGTAGTGCTTTCCAGCTTTATACAGATGTCATATTTGTTGATCTAACACAGCTTGGCTTTTATAGTCTTTTCTTCAATAGCTCAAACCAGCAAAACTTAAGGCTGATTGTATTTTATCAGGGGTTTCCAAGTTTTCTGAAACCTTGTGCTCTTCAACAAGATCCATTCTTAAAGGAGGTGGAAGTCAGAGAGAGAAGACTCTGTGATCTCAAAGCCAGTGATCATAGTGTCAGTTATAGCATACCTCTTGGATTAATAAGAGTCACACACATTCAAGTTCCTAATACACAGGTTACTTTGGCAGCAAAGATAGAATAATTTATTCTGAGAACAAGTCTAGAGTTAATTTCTTGTTGCTCTGCAAAGTCTGACTTTGCTCAGTTTACTATTGAAGTTAGGTGCTGCAAGTGCTTTTCATTCAGAGTGCAGACTCTTCTTTAGTCCCAGTATTTACTGCTATCCCAGTTTTCTAGAGCCCCAGATTTTCTACAGGAAGGCATTTAGGAAACCCCTTCCCTCACTCCCTCCTTTCACTGTATGTGATTAGCCTCCCAGAGAGCTATGGTCAAGACTGTATTTGCACATTCGTCATTGTTAGGAGTAGCCCTGTCCCTGGAGGGTGAATTGAAGCTCATTCATCCAGAGAAGACTGTCAGTGACAGGCACCACTTCCTCCTCCCAGGCTTCTGAAATAGGCAGTGTACTCTTGTAGATCATTACTCCTTCAACGGTATATCAGAAACATTTTTAAGTAATGTTTTAAAATAAAGAACAGGTCTTCCATAACTTTTGTTTTGTTAGGATTTGTTATCAGTAAAGAGAAGAGATGGTTTAAAGATTTTTAGCCATTTCATCCTTAGCCATACAACACCCTCACGTGTCTGATTTGTGGTTGAAAATACTAATGCAGTCTTTTGCTTATTAAGTTTTTTTCCCTTGAGTTTTAAGGATTCACAGAATTGAGAGAATATAAATTGTATTGATGACTAGAAAGTAGAAGGCAGGATCACAGTGAAGGAAGGTCCTAAAGTCTGCTGTCGTGCTAGCCTCCTGAAAGATGGGAATGGGCAGGGCTGCTGGGCATTCCTACCCTCCCCTTACCAGGAAGCTTTGTTAATCTACAATTAATACTTCTGTGGTTGGCATCAACCAACCTACCTTTCTTTTCTTTTTTCAGAATGCCTTCTTAAGGCAGTAAAGCAATAGAAGTTGTAGATTCTTCATGTATACATCTAATTTAAGATTTCTCCTTTCATGTAGAATCATAAAATATGCATTTTGGGGATAATTTTTTTCTTACGTTTTACAAAATAGAGCTTAGATTATATTTGACAGTGATAATTGTAGAAAAACCTACAATTATCTCTGTAGATTATTATCCTAAAGAGAAATCCCTCTTTGCTCAGGTCCAGTTGACAGCAGAAGGTAAAGTTGTAAGATTTGGGGAGTATAAATGTTACTTCTTTATCTGATTTTGAAGGCCCCATAATCATTAGAAATCTGACTTTCTAATTTCTTCACATTTTATGCTTAAATTGCATGTTACTTCTTTTGTTTCTTCTTATTATTAGGTATTTCAGGATTCTGATAGTTACCAGTCTTATAGAAAGCTGGTAATCCTTAACTGTAACACTGCAAACAGCAGCCATAAGAGTGTATAATTTTTCTTGTGTGTTTATGTACTTAAGTTGGGTGGAGGAGTGAAAAATCAAAGGTTATTGCCATTGCCCTTGTTTACTCTAGCATTTAGATTCTGGAAAGTGCCTCTGATATTCCACTGCCTACGCCTTTATCATTCATAACTCAGTTTGCACCTGGGGTAAAGATGTGTCTCAGACTGTATATTCAGTTGGGCCCTGGCATTGCTAATGGAATTGGCAAGCCTATTCATTTAGAAATGTGGATGAGTGATCACTGCCTTAGCAGTCACAACAGAGCAACATTCTCAACACAGTCAGAGCTTTATTAGTAAAGCTAAACACAACTTGGAAAGATAATTTCTGGCTATATAAGCTAGATCATTGAGATAATTTGGTAGAAAGGTAAAGATTTTCATTAAGTACTTATCATCCAGGAAGGGGTCCAGCTGTTAATGTTTTTGAGAACCCAGTTGAAGGACAGTTTTGTGCTTATCTGGAATATTCTATGTTCCCTTGGGCCCATCTTGATGTCTTCACGACATTTTAAAATTTGAATAAAAAGACTTTTGTTCAAATAAAAACTATCTTGGCTTAAAGTCAGCACTTATATACACCTATCAAATGAGAATGGTAGATTAGAATTTTGATTTGCTTCCTTCAAAAACAGTTGCAAAATTCATCTTTACTTGTGTATACCAGTATTTCCTTCTTAATGCCCTTGATTCCTCATTTTTTCCCACATTATTGACTATAGCAGAGAGCCACTTTCTGAAGTTACTGTTCAGGCAGGTTAAACAAGCCCCCTTAAAACCTGTAAATTATTTGCTCTGGGATCTTTCAAAGTTTGGCCACCAACTCATGATGTGATATCTGTTTTGAGTGTATATAGTTTGCTTAGTACAGAATCTTCAAATATGTCCTCAAAAGCACATTAATCTGTGAGAAGTAAAGCCTCATTGATATTCGTGTCATCTCTTTTGGGAAATTTGGGAGTAGGGATAGGTGTATGCCTATTTTCTTAAGAAGTCAAAAGAGAAAAATCCTCAGAGATCTTTGTGTGTTTTCCCCACTTTCAGGTTGCCAACTTGGCCTGTTCCATCTCAAACAATGAAGAAGGAGTAAAGCTTGTTCGAATGTCTGCAAGCCAGTTAGAAGCCCTCTGTCCTCAGGTAAAGTACAGCTGGAAATGGTTATGATATCACCAAATTGGATTTTATTAGAATGGAAATGAAGTTTAAGGTCTTTCTTTTCCTTTTCCTTCTCCTTCTCTTCCCCTTTCTTCTTTCTTTCTACCCTCACTCCTAGAATTTTAAATAGAAGTCTTGGAGTTGCTATATAGATTGGAGACGTTTATGTTTAAGTGTTTCCTCTTGGCATTACTACCTCCTTGCCCTACATTAAAAATGCATAGTCTTGTTGGACTCACATGCTTATCTAGTACATGCAAAGAAGGCCCCGGCATTGAGTGGTGGAAAATACACACATCTACATAAGTAAATATATGCATAGTGTCCTCAATTTCTGGAGAGTGATTACACTGCTCAGTTGATTACCTTTTCAGCAGGAATGGGGGGTGGGGGCACCTGCAACATCAAACTGGAACCATAATGGTTCCTCTTATCCTTAAGTGGTAACAGTTGTTCATTCACCTGCATTCAATATCTATTGGAGGAAACCCCATTGGAAAGCTTGTCTTCTTGCACTAAATGTCTTAAAGCAGCCTATGATACAATTTAATTCAGCTAGCCCCTAAAATAAAAGATCAAGAACTTTTCTACATTCATAAAGGCATATTGGAAGACAGGTAATTAGGCTAAGCATGTGGCACTTTAGAAAGACTGAAGAACATAGAGCATTGAATGCTTTGTGTGTTTATGTGTTACTGGGCATTGAACCCAGGGGTGCTCTACTACTCAGCTCTCTCCCACATCCCTATTTTTCATTTTGAGAGTCTTGATAGGTTTCCAAGGCTAGCTTTGAGCCTTGAATCCTTCTGCCTCAGCCTTCTGAGTTGTTGAGATTATAGGTGAGCTCCACCAGGCATGGCACAAATGTTTTATTAAGTACCCAGTGTGTTGCCTGTTTCCCATGATAGAGCTCACCTTGTCTGTGTGATTCCTGTCATTCAGATTTCTAAGCAGTATAAGTGTTTCAGTGGAAGTGGTTGCCTTCCCTTTTTCTCAAGTAGAGAATGTTCATGGCACACTCTGAGGATTTACATTAACCTCTCACTGCATGTCCTGTCAGCTGGCAGTGATCACTAACAAATGGGAATAAGCAGAGGAACTGGAGTAATAAGACAGTGATCATAGAAATGACACTATTACTTTGACTCTTTCCTATAAATAAATATTCACTTGAACCCAAGATGGTTAGTTTTCCAATGATTTTTTTTTTTTTTTTTGTCTTAGTGTGATGTCTGGCTTTCCATAGCTTTAATCCAATCATGAAATATGCCAGTGATTGATACTGTACAGATAATAAGTGCAGTGGTGTTAATCACCACCAAGTTGTATGAAATAAATTTAGATTGGATTTCTAAAGATTGGGCATTCTTTCTTCAAATTTGCCATTTTACCCTATCAACATTTTGTTTTTAATATCTTTGGGTTCTCCGTTTGGTTTTGAAATGCGTGAAAAGTGACAATGCTTCCACATATCTGCAGAAACAGATGGTAACATAACGCTGATCACACCTACCAAGAGTATTTATATAAATGATCTTAAAGTTTAGGGGGAAAAAAATCACATGAAGTGTCTAGTATATCCTAATGAAAATGCTAGTGTCCATAAACCGTGTGTGACTAGCCCATGTGCCGTTTTTACTTTGCTGCCAGAAAGCCTCATTTCTCCCTCTTTTTGCAGTTTTCATGTCTTCTACTAAACCAGGCATCAGGAGGAATGGGCTTTAAACTGTGTCCAGAAAACACTTGGTATTGGGTATATGATCTGGATAAAAAGATGTTCTCCAGATGTGATTGTTTTCCAGATTCTTACTAGGCCTGTTCCTGCCCTTGCTCACAAACTGCCATGCACTTAGGGCTGAGGCAGGTTCAGTGGGTGTTCACAGTTTTGGTAATGGCAAACTGAACAGGATGGGTCATTTGATTTTCAGTGAGGAAGCTGTGACTCTAGCCCATTATTGACAGATCCTTTCATTATTCTGAAAGATCTGTCAGCAATTCAAATTACTAGTCTCAGTATTGAACGATTGATAGCCTAAAGCTTTGAAAATCTTTGAGGATAGTAAGTCTTAATCTTCTGTGAGCTACACCTGACCTAGCCTTACCCATGGATTTATGCTTCAAGGAGGTGTTTGTAGGATTGAAGGGAAGGTATGAAACAATTACTCATTTAGAGTCCAGGCATGAGGAGATGGGGAGAATAACCAGACTAAGTAAATGTAGTTCTCTTGCTTCTCCATGTTTGAGTCCACTTGAAGTTGAATGATGAAGAATTTTAAAGTGAAACCCATTTAGCATGGTTAAATGCAGAAAACCATGAGTTTTATTTTGCACATGTTCAATTTGAAATATCTATGCTATATAGGCAGAAATATTAGGATATACTTGGGATATGAATTGGGAATTGCAATGATTGGTCTAAGTGGGAGATAGGGGAATACTTGGCATATGGGTGGTATTTAAAATCATGAGACTAGATAAAATTGCTTAAGATGGGAGGAGTGTAGAAAAAAGAGAAAAGCCAGTCCAGGAACTCCAACACTACCTGTTGAAAGAAGTCAAGATAGCAAGGGAGACATAGAAGAAATAGAAGTAATACATATTTTATTTAGAAACTATCAAGTTATAAAATAAAGAATACCTCTAATCTCTCTATTCTGAAGGCAAACAAGGAATGGAAGAGAAATTCCTCAGCCTGTTAAAGGATATCTATGAAAAATTGATAGATTTTGATCTACAACTTCAAATTTAATAGTCTAAGACTGGGTACTTGGGCTGGGGTTGTGGCTCAGTGGTAGAGGGCTTGCCTTGCACATGTGAGGCCCTGGATTCCATCCTCGGCACCACATAAATAAATAAAGATATTGTGTTCATCCACAACTAAAAAATATTTAAAAAAAGACTGGGTGCTTAACTTTATGATCAGAAAAAAGACAAGGATATTCACCCTTGTCAGTTGTAAAACATTGTACTGGGAGTTCTACCAGTAGCTGTGTTTTGAAAATTGACACCAATACAGACATTTGTGCCTAGTTTTATACCCTTTGCAAATTTGTATTTCTTTCCCTCAGACCCCCAGATGTTTCCTAGTCATTACTACTTCACATTAGAATGCAGTCCATGTCTCTCCTTGTTTTTTTACTGGTATTTTGGTGTTCTTCGTACTGACTTATCTGTATATTTAATCTGACATATATGTTTAAATGCATAACTCAATCAGAATTATATATTGACGGATCCCATTGTAACTTAGAAATAGAGAATTTCCTAAAGACAAATATATGTTTAAATATTAATAAATAAATTTATATAGTTTTGTTGTTTTTAGGTTTAATTCATTATCTGGAAACAATCTTAGCACATAAAAGAAATAAGCAATGATGAACTTAGTGCATATGATATATATGTGTATGTGATTCAGCACATAAATGAAGTAGGTAATAAAGTATTAAGTGAAGACATAATTTTATTTTTCTCTAAAAAATAAAAGATCATATGTAAAAATAATGCACCTGTTCCCCACTGATTTATGATGTCACTTTTATCATACATAAACTTTGCCAATGATAGTGTCTGTTTTTTTTTGATACTATTCTGATCACTTTAGTTTTATAATGCTTTTGAACTCCCTTTTCATTACTGTTGCTTTCTGTCCTCAAGATTTTCTTGGCTATTGTCAGCCATTTATTTTCATATTAATTTGTGGATAAATATGTCAGTCTTCCTATCCCTGAATGAGTTTCCATTTATTTTAGTTTGTTTAATATACCTTAGAAAAGTTGAGCTACTTGGTTTTTACTTTGTCATGCTGGTTTCTTGATAGATTGAATTCCATGTATTTCATTATTAATTGCTTTTGTGGAGATCTGACACTCCTTCTCATTTTATATTTTGTTATTTTTTGATAATGTAGAAAGGCTGTTGATTTTTAAGATATCTATACTGTCTCTAGAAATTCTAAGAGTTTTTTTTTTCCATTGATACACTTCAGTTTGCTACATAAAGGTAAAATCTGTGTTCAACAGTAATTTTCTCACCTCCTATTTCTAACAGCTTTTTTTTGGCATTTCCATTTCTCATTTATTGACTAGAAAGTCCATTTACTTATTATTTAACTAATGGTGACAGCAGGTATTCTTATTAATACCATTTTGATTTTTAAGGTAATTGGTGCTTGAGTTTTATGAGCATATCATGTTGGACAATTACTTAAAATAGTATGTTAATGAAGTATCTTTCTATTCCTAATAGAAAGGAGTAATTTTTACCAAACATCTTTAATAAGCAGTTTTATAATCAAAAGGAGAATGTTAACTTCAGATGAGGTGGATCCCCAGTGTACAGTATATACAGTAGAAGATATATCTCTTTATATTTAAAACATAATTCTCTGCCCATGTAGGAAACATTTTCATCAGCTAAATACTTGTATGACGTCTAGCTCAACTCAGATACATTGACATGTTAGTGAAATAATGAGTTAATGAAAACAGTAGTCCATAGTGAAAAAAGAAGGGTAAGAAGGAAAAGCTAGAAAGAATAAGCCTTGGAATGATGAAAATGTGGGAGGCCACAGCATAATATGGGCAAAGGCAGGCTATCTCTTCCTCCAAATTATTGTCCAAACCCAGACACTTTTGAAAGGGGTGGGTCATTAGTAAGTAATAAGCTCAAATGGCTTCATTCCAAGTGTTTAGAGGGAAGAGGAGTAGTGCACCAGTCTAATGGGTCTGATTCTTCTTTAGTCTGTTATCATCTACAGCTTTTATGAGCCAAGTTAATAACTTGGTTCTTAAATGCCCCTGCAATAAATTGGAACTTCTATATATGATCTGAAGTGATATGCTTCCTGTAGCACCTTAAAAAGCCATCCCAAACTCTGTTCTCAGGTTTGCATGCCTGTTGCCTGTAGCTTTCTGCCTTATTCAGATCCCTGTTTCATTCCTTTCTACCAGTTTCCTCTTGTCTGTGCTTTCTTTCTAAGTTCCATTACTTTAAACACATTTATTCCATTAATCCATAAGTATTCTTGTACCTAGAAGTCCAATTATTCTCAGTTCATTTTGATACTGCTCTCATTGTTTAATTATTCAATATATGAAAGAATATGAATAGACATACCCTAAAGAGTATACACAAATGGTTAATAAGCACATGAAAAAAAAAATCTAACACCATTAGTCATCAAGGAAATGCAAGTGAGGTAATTTTATATCCACTTTATAATTAACTTTAAAATTAGGGGCGGGGTGGTAAAGATATGGGGCATCAGAACCATCATCCTGGTGGGAAAATAAAGTGGTACAGCCATTTTGGAAAACAGTAAGGCAGTTCCTCAAAAGGTTAAAGGTAAACTTAACCATATGATCCAGCAATTCTGTTCCATTCCCAGAGAAATGAAAACTGACACATATATATGAATGTTCATGAAGTATTATTCATTTGATGAATGGATAAATAAATGTGACGTATCCATATATCATAGAATATTACTTGTCAGAAAAGAATTGAAGTACTGACAACATGCTAAAACATGAATAAGCTTTCAAAACATTTTGTTAAAGAAACTAATTATAGAAGTCCACATATTATGTAATTCTGTTTATATGAAATGTCCAGAATAGGCAAATCCATAGAGACAAGAGAGGAGGTTAGTGATTGCCAGAAGATGGCAGAAAGTAGTATGAAGGGAAATAAGGAATTACTGCAAATGTATATACAGGTTCTTTTTGGAGTGATAAAAATGTTCTAAAATTGAATGTGGTGAGTGTTGCATAACTGACTATACTAAAAAATCATTGAATTTTATATTCCTTAAGTGGGCAAACCATGATTCATGAATTATATCTCAATAAAACATTGAATATGTTCACACATGTGTGCACTGTGCAGTGCTGGGGATTGAACCCAGCACCTTGTATATGCTAGGTACATGTTCTGCTGAGCTATCTTCTCAGTCCTAAAGAATTTTTTTAACTTAGCAGATTATATACTTTCCTATGTAATTTTTGTTGTTGTTATGTCTTTTTTTTTTCTCTTTTTGTACTGGAGATTGAATCCAGGGGCACTTTACCACTGAGCTATATCTCCAGTTCTTCTTATTTTTTAATTTGAGACAGAGTCTTGCTAAATTGCTGAGTCTGGCCTCATCTTGCAATCCTCCTGCATCAGCTTCCCAGGTGTTGGCATTACAGGACTGCACCATTGTGTCCAGCTCCGGGGTAGTTCTTTTATGTTTTAAATATGCCTTTGTTAAAGACAAGCAGAGGAAAAAGGAAATTGAATATATTTTTATGAACTATACTTTGATAGTGCATCTACAACGTGAAATGTTAGATTTTCATAATAAGATTATTAACTGGTGGTGAGAGAGTAAGCTAGAACAAGCTACTCTATAGTAGAAGAATAATATAGTATACCTATAAGATGGAATAATAAACAGTTAATATTTTCAATATATGTTTAATGATATGAAGAAATACTTGAAAAAACAGGATAGTCATTTTTATGTAGCATATAATTTTCATTATGTAGTTCTTGATGTGTCTACATTGTGAACTGTGAGGAGAAAAAAAGCTGAATTTAATGTCAGAATTATAGAATTGCTATCATGGAGTGGAGAGATTAGAGGTACTTTTAATTTATTTAAAATTGCACATAGTTTCTGAACAAAATATGTGTAACTTTGACTTTAACATAAAACCTATTTAATACTTCACCACTTCACCTTTGTAATAGTTATGGTGGAACATATGGTATAATGTGTCCTAGTGAAATTCATGTAAGACAAGGCCGTTGCCACTGTACTGACCAAATTGTCCCATCTGTTTCATTTGCATGATTCTGAAAAATAAATAACTTTAATATCTTTTGTAGGTTATTAATGCTGCATTGGCTTTAGCAGCAAAACCACAGAGTAAACTGGCCCAAGAGAACATGGATCTTTTTAAAGAACAGTGGGAAAAACAAGTCCGTGTTCTCACAGATGCTGTTGATGACATTACTTCCATTGATGACTTCTTGGCTGTTTCAGGTAATGAACTGGTTCCCCAGCATAGCATTTAAGGATGTGCATAATTACTGGCATCTAATTTTACAGTAATAGACAAAGTCCCCCATGTCTGGGCAAGTAAAATAAATTATTTTAGTAATAATATTGTGTTAGTTTTCATTTTAATTTAAACAAACAAAGTAACACTGCCTCCTGAGTAATAGAAGATGGAATTGGAGCTATTTCCCTCATGGTGGGGCTGATGGAGATCCTGGAAGCACGAGTTAGAAAGCTGTCTGAGACTTTCTCTGCTTTCATAGAGTAAAATCCTTCTTTAACTGTAACTTGTCAAGCACAGTAACCACCCTTCTTGCTGCTACTGTGTTTAGAAAAATTGTTGACCTGTGTTGGTCCCAGTAGACACTGTGGTTGTGTTATAAGCCTATGAAACAGAAGAAAAAGAACTTCTCAGTACCATCACCTTTAGTTTCCTTTTTAAAATAGATTTTGTTTTTTCCCCTCCCTTTTCTTGGAAAACCTCTCCTGTCTCAGAAATGATCACAGTTTAAATGCCTATTTTTCCAAAGACTCTTTGTCTGAATGATACGTAGATAGAAAACAGAGAGGAAATATTTAAGTGCCTTTTAATTATGAACTTAGAAAAAATAAATCTGTGTAATTCACCTCACAAAAACAGTTGATTTCATTATATAAACATAAACTGGTAATGACATAGTAAATTGCATTCATATAGAAAATGTCTGTCACAAATGCAATTTAGTGTTTATCACACAGAGATAAATTTCAATCATGTCTCCTTAGAGTTGAGCAACATTAAATGCATTCTTCATTTATTTGGGCTTCTGTTGTCCTTGGCTTGGCTACATGGCTTTTCGCTGGAAGCACCTGGCTTCCTGAAGCCAGTGGCTGGGTTCTTGTAGGGCTGAAACTATCACCATAGGGAACTGTGGGCCAGAATGTGGGAGATTTTGAGTGGCAATGGGGCTTGAAAGAGAAGCAGGACTTAAGTATATGCATAGCACAATCCTCCAGCAATGACCTATATAAGGATGACCATGTGTTCTGAATACCAATGGTTCCTTGTCTTTACATGCTTTCCTTGGGTTTGGAAGTTCTGGCTTGAAAAGGTGAGAAGCAGACAGTCTGCAAACTGAAAAACAATAGGGCAAACCATGTTACTGAAGGACTGCCAAATTGCAGGTTACTGGTACTTTAAAACAAAAACTCATTTGCAAGCACAACTTTGCAGGTGCCAAAAATGCAGCAATGGCTTTTTTGGGAAATCTTGGCCTTCTGTTGTTTTTCCCATTGAAGTACCAAGTTATTCTTTTTCATAGGTTTAGAGAAAAACATTCCACCTTCACTGCACACTTTTAAGCAAACAATATATTCTGAAATCTAAATTCAAAGCCCCCCTCCGGATAAATACTGCATTTCTACAGTTGCTTTTTTGAGATTAGGTTGGGTATAGCTTAGACTTGGTCTCAAGGGATTTTCAGTCTTCTTACAGCAAAATAAAATGTAATAGAATCAATGTCCCTCATGCAACATTCTTCAAATCGGAGGAAAAAAATGTTTTCTGTAGTAGCATTTAGTGGGATCCAGGCAGTGTCTTCAAGGTATATGATAAAACAGAAGACTAGTAATAAACAAACAAACAAATAAATAAATAAAATTTAGAAAATTTTTAAGAATCAAATTCTTTAGCATTATACTTTTGTCTGGTGACTGTGTTTAATTTTTATGCAAGTATATGAGAATTTGAGAGAGGATTGTTTTGATGGAAAGGAGTTTAGACAGTTTCTGTTCCGCAGATGAAAACATGGAACTGTTGTCTAAGGAAGTTGTAATTTTTTGGTTTTTTTTGTTGTTTTTTTTTTAAATTTTTTGTAGTTGTAGATGGACAGCATACCTTTATTTTATTTGTTTTATTTTTATGTGGTGCTGAGAATCAAACCCAGTGCTTCTGCCGCTGAGCTACAGTCCCAGCCTGGAAGTTGTAGTGTTTTTAGAGCATCTAAATCTTAGAGGGCTACCTGGTATGTTTTTCTAATGTTCTGTCATAGGGTTGCTTGAGGGATGTCAAGTAATAATTAGTAGGACAAGGCTTTTATTCACAGTTCCTCTGCTTTTTAGGGGCATAGGAGGAAAGGAGGAGACAAGCAGAAGCCGATGCAGAGTTCTAGTAGACTGAGCAGTTAATGTCCAGCACTCAGAATCTTTGACACCCTTAAGCACCTACCCTACCCATTGCATCTCTAGATCTTTTTTGTGGGGTGACTGGAGGTGACTCCTGTTCTTACCTGATACACAGCCTAGGTAGGTGTCATTTATAGTGGTTATAGGCAGTAGGCAAGAAGCCACGTCTTGTCTTCACTCAGAAGTGCACCATGTGCCAATTTCCCTTTGCCCTAAAGCACACGGGGGCCATAGTGGTCCTGTTGTGAAATGAGCTTGCTTTTGAGTAGGGGGGCTGCCCAATAGAGTCTGGCTTAAGGTAGGTGAACTTGATATGGTTCAGCTAAAGGTAAGGCTGCTTAATTTCTTGGAGTGGTTATTTCTCCTATATTCTGGAGCCTTGAGACCATTCAGTAGTATGAGAGGTTTTGTGGAATAGCTCCACTAATGATTTCCACCATCAAATTCCCTCTTAGAAGCCCAGAGGTCTAGATATTTACTGTAGTCCTGCCCACTCAAAACCCACCTAAGAGGTAGTTATTTGTGGAGTAGAACTGAGCATCCTCTATTATTTCTGGCTGCCCTCCCACCATGATTCCAGAAGTTCCTGCATACTTATCATAGATGATATCCTGATTTGTAGCTCAAAAGGTAAGACATTTTACTTAATTTTTGATTTTGTGTTTAATAGCGAAAAAGCAAAACTATAGATGAGTGATTCAATTATTGGTGAAGTTAGAGGATTTGATTTCTAACTCCCAGGCCCACTAGATATATGACCTTGAATAGGCAAGTCACTCAGAACTTTGTGCCCCAGTTTCCTCATGGTGTTTTTGTTTGTTTGTTTTTTGTTTTTTTTTTTAATGTCTACACTATAGAGTAAAATGTCAAGCACTCAAAATAGTGCTTTGGTTAAAGTAAGTCCTCTACATAAAGCATGAAACAAGATTATCATAGGTGCATCTTCTGCACTGATAAAGTCATCCAGACCAAAGAATCTGAAGACAGGCCTTGTTTTTAGACTAGAGCACTTACAGCCTTTCTGGAGAATGCCAGTTGGCATGGTTCCTGTAGGGTAATTAGGTACTGTTTGGTTACTTTAAAAATATATGTCTTTTAATTCAGTAGAACCTCATTGGCTCAAAATTTTCCTTAGGGTAAATGTCACAAATGTTTGTCAAAATACCTGTATAAGACTTTACCCCCCACCAAAATATCTAGGAAAAACTGGAAAAGTAAAATTATAGCCCCTCCATTTATTCCACTGGTGCTTATACAACTATTAGAATGGACAAGGTAGATCTATTGAGGCATACCTAAAAAAGTTTCAAGTGATAAAGATATAGTAGTGTCTTCTATGGGACTCCCTTGGTGTCCATTTACACATAGCTATACATATTTACATAGACAGTTGTGTGTATATATATAATTTTTTTTTCCTATTAAAAGCACATCTACAGGGCTGGGGATGTGGCTCAAGCAGTAGCGTGTTCTCCTGGCATGCGCGGGGCGCTGGGTTCGATCCTCAGCACAACATAAAAATAAAATAAAGATATAGTGTCCACCTAAAACTAAAAAATAAATATTTTTTAAAAAAGCACATCTACAAATAAAGATTGTATTAAATAGTCTTTAAGGGGGGTACAGATCGGTGTGTCTGTTCATAATGAACTGAATTTCCTGAGAAATTCAGTTAATGCTAGAGTGATAATGAGATTACAGTTAGTGTGGGTACCTCTTAACTTCCTGCATTTGCACACAACTAGTGGACTCTCACTTACCCTTAGGGCTGTAAGTGTAGAGAGCAGGCTTAGCACTGTATCCTGGGTATGTGGTAGCTCCGAGTAGGCTTCACCTTTCATAGAGCTGGGTCCTGGGTATGTGGTGGCCCCAAGTAGGCTTCAGCTTTTCATATTACTTTAGTCTGTTTTCTACAATAGAAGACTTAAAGGAAGTCTTGCTGTTGTGTATATATACCACAGGTTAATCCATTCATCTATTGACAGATAAATTGTACTGCTATAAACATTGTTGTGGCTATATCACTATAATATAGTACGCTGATTTTAGTTCTTTTAGATAAATGCTGAGCAGTGGGATAGCTGGGTCATATGGTGGCTACATTCCTAAAAAAATTGAGGAATCTCCATACTGCTTTCTAGAACAGTTGTAATATTTTGCAGTCCCACCAAATGTATGAGTGTACCTTTCCCCCACATCCTTGTCAGCATTTATTATCATTTGCATTCTTTTAAAAAATTTTTATTAGTTGTTAGTGGGCCTTTATTTATTTTTATGTGGTGCTAAGAATCAAACCCAGTGCTTCACACATGCTAGGCAAGTGCTCTACGACTGAGCCATACCCTCAGCCCTCTATATTCTTGATATTTGGCATCTGACTGGAGTGAGATGAAATTTCAATGTAGATTTGATTTGCATCTCCCTAATTGCTAGGGAAGTCAAACATTTTTTTCATATATTTCTTGGCCATTTGTATTTCTATTTTTGAGAAGTGTCTGATTAGTTCTTTTGCCCATTTATTGATAGGATTATTTGGGGGTTTTAGTGTTAAGCTTGAATTCTTTAGGTATTCTACATATTAATTTCCTGTCAGAGGAGTAGCTGGGAAAGATTTTCTCCCATTCTATAGGCTCTTTCTTCACACCTTCAATCATTTTCTTTGCTGTGCAGAAGCTTTTAAATGTGGCTCTATCCCACTTATTGATTCTCAGTTTTATTTCTTGAGCTTTAGGGATCTTGTTATGGAAGTCAGTGCCTGCACTAATGTGATGATGGAGTGTTGGCCCTGTTTTCTTTTAGAAGTTGCAAATTTTCTGGTCTGT